GATTCTCATGTCAAGGTGATGACAGGGGCAGGGGCAGGAGAAGACCACAGGCAGCTCTTGTCCTGGGAAGGTGACTGCTGAGCAGTGTGGAGCACAGGGGTCCTTGCAGGATTTTTCCCAAAACTTACACTGAAGATGCTCCATGCAGGAGTGTGTGCGCCTGGCTCCGGCTCTGCAAGTCTGGATTAAAACATATGACAAGCACCTGAAGCTGCCGCACTGAGGCCACACAGTGAGCACAGGAACCAAGGAGAAAACAGAGACAAGGATTGAGCCCTGGAGACCTGTGATCAGACTGACTTTGAACCTGGGATTCAAAGTGCAGTGGCCAACCCTGTCCAGGATGGGCAGGAGGACTGTGGGGCCAGGAGGATACAACCCCCCAATCCCCAGATATCTTTGAGATTGCTTTTCTCTGAGACCTCGCAGGTGTTCTCTCGTGTTCCCTCTGTGGCTTCACAGGTCTCCCCTCATAGTGTCGTCCTTCTCTGAGTGATGCCACCCTCATAGCACTGACCACACCTCTAGGCCAGGGGTACACACTTATGGAGGCGTGTCACAGCCCTACTCCGGTGCCCACAATCAGGCAGGCATGTCCCTCGCCCATGCGCCCAAGAGCCTTCTGCGCCGACAGAATGAAGGCCGCAGATGAGAGCCACAGAGGCTAGTGGCCTGAGAAGCCTGAAATTCATTTACCCTACAAAAGTATTCACACTCATCTGGATGCCATTGGACCTGCTGGTGATTAGCATTTGACCCTGATCCCCAGCTGGGGCCAGGGAGACCAGGAATTAAAAATATAATCCAGGGACACCACTGGTACCATCATGCAGCCTCTTACAACATTGCTGATAACAGTGTAGCTGGTGCCTCCCTGGATCCCACCCTTCACACAAGAGACCCAGAAGGCAAGTCCCTCCTGAGGGCTCTGCCCACCCGTGGAAATGACCAGGCTGGTTGGGAGCCAAGGAGCAACCATCACAGGAGTCACACATGGCAGACAAGGAGGTCTGGCCCTGATAACAACCTCCTGTATGCTAGCAAATTCACACAATCTCCCATGTGCTAGCTAGTAGTGGACACCAGAGCCTGTGCTCCCCCACATCCCAGAGGCTGAGACACCGCACCCTTTCAGCCTGTGTGTGTGCCGTGCCCCAACAACCAAGTATTCAGCAGGGAGCACAGCCTCCGGCTCCCACACCTTCACCACAGCAGCCTCCAGCCTCCAGAGCTGGCTCCTGCAGACCAGTGGGCCCAGCCCACGCACCACACACCACCAGGGTGAGAGGCTCCAGTCACTCTACAAGACCCACCCTTGGTCCATGCCACACCCACAACCCACAGCACCAGGGAGGCAGTGCCAGTGCTGCAGCCACCCCTTCCACAAGCCCAGTGGCCCCACAGCACTTGCAGCAAACCTACCAGTGAATGGCTCACACCAAAACAGCAAGCCTCCCTTGAGACCCTGCAGCTGGCAGCTGGCACTGCACATGGCTGCACCCTGTGGGCACCATGCCGCAGGCGATCTAGACTCACAAGGCACGTCCTGCAGCTACACCAGGCAGCCATGGGCCATGTGTGCACCCGCAGCACCAACCCCTGAACACACCTTAGTGGGGGCTTTGGGTCAAAACCTAAGTGTCAGTGCCTGGGAGGAATGATAGCCCTACCCACAGTCCACCACAATACGGTACCAGGTGGCACCTCCATGAAGGGGCTCACTCAGCACACAACTTGGGGAACAAGGAACCACTCTCCAGAAGGACACTCATCCCAGCACTTGACTAACCCTCAGAACAAACAGGTAGTGATGGTCCAGGAAATCACAGAGCACCAGGAAGATGGGGGACAGAAGAACATGACTCTTATGAGAGAGCTAATCATAGTAAGGAGATCTTTCTGTGGGAAATGTGCAAAGAGCTATACGTTCATGATGGGCTCACCAAGGTCAGTTGTTAAGGAAATGCAATTCAGACCAAACTTAGGTACCACTTTAACACCAAGCGTGGTCAATGAAAACAGATAATAACTAGTGATGACACGAATTTGGAAGAACTGAAGCCCTCACACATAGCAGAATGGAAAAAGGTACAGTCACTTTGGTAAACAGTCTGGAAATTGCTCTAATGACTAATTCTAAAGGTAACATGTGATCTAAAAACTTGTTCACAGCATACACCCCAAAAAAGTGAAAACATATACCCACAGAAAACTTGCATAAAAGTGTTTCTTGTACACGGGAACTACACCTGAGAGGGAAGATCATGTGTTGCACCAACAGAAAAAATGATGTCAAATATATATGCATATAAACTGTTTGTTGCAGGATTAGTATTCCAAATAGCCAAATGGTGGAAACGCCTCAAAATCTGTCAATGAATGAATGAATCAACGACCAGGATGTGTCCATAGCACAGAATATTCCTCAGCCATGAAGTGGAATGAAATCCCGCTCCATACTCCAGTGGGACTGAAGCTGGGAGATGCTGTGCAATGACAGGAGTCAGCATTAAGACCACACACCACACGGCTCCACTTGTATAAAAGCCCTGAACAGAGAAATATAAAGAAAGACAGAGAAACTTACCACAGTTGCTTTGAACTGGGGTGTTTGGAGCAGGAACTGGAGAATGGGGTTCATTTAATGTTAAAATTATGTAAAATTTATTGTACTCATAACAGCACTATGGTAAAGATACCAAAACCTACTGCATTATATTGACCTTCATGGTTAAAACAATGTATTTGAATTATATCTCAAAATAAGTGATGTAGATACAAAAGGTGGAACGTATTTCATTCAAGTCTGACAAAATTTCACAGCTGTGAAAAATTTAAAAAACTTTCCCACAAGAAAGATAAATCCCATTTCTGACATTTTGTTTCAAAAGTCACCTTTTCTTTCTTCAAATACTGTTCTATAAAGCTATGGAGTCTCCTCACCACTGTGTGATCTCAAGTGATGCCAACGTCTCAGGGTGCCTGATCCAGTCTCCAGTGAAACACATCCCTGGCCCCTGAGTAACACTGCACCCCGGGCGTCATTGTTCATGTCGGTGTGGCCAGTACAAAGAGGAGGGCAGGTGACCACAGATAACCACCAATTCAATGAGATCCAGATTCTTCTTATTTTCTGGTTCACCCAACCCACTGTGGAGACTTTCCTTCTTATTTTGTTAACATAAGACTTCAGAGTGGCTGCAGCAGCTCCAGCTATACATCCTTATTCAAGAAAAAAACTGCTGTATGAGTCCAGGATATCTTTAATTCACAGCAAAGTTTCATTGAAAAGAATCCCATTCAAATGACACTTACAACACTTCAGCCAGAACTGGTCCACATGGCTGATCCAGACTGAAGGGACCTGTAAACTGTGTCCAGGTTTGAAATAGATGAGACAACACACAGGAGATCAGTGAGAACCGTCTGCTATTCTGAAAACCAGCTGTGTTGTTGCTCTGCTCCATCCACACTATGGGAATGCCTAAGAGCAGGGACAGTGCCATGTTCATGTCTTAGACCCCAGAAGGAATGTGTGAAAGATTAACGTAGTGTCACTAATATTTCCTGGACAGATGTTCTCCTGTCTATTGTGGGTGCAGTCACCACCAAGGCCCCATGATGGCACTGCACACACAGCTGGCACCATGAAGAGCCACTCCCTGACTCCTGTTCTCCCCAGTGTCACCCTGTGACCTGACAGTCCTTACAGGTGACCTCAGGTGGATCCTAAACGTCCCTCTTCTTAATGGACATGCTCAGATAATCACGGGTGAGCTGAGGCCACTATACCTGATCTTGAGGTAAACAGAGGCCACATATGGAACAGGAATTCACCCCTGGGTCAGGAGCCCACGGATCAGGGAGTCACCACCTGAGATGCTGCCTCTGAATCCTCACCTGAACAGCTGATGCCCCTGAGCCTCCTGCAGCCACTGCAGAGTGGCCACCAGGGGGCAGGGAAGAGCCACATGAGTCAGGGTGTTTTAAGCACCTTAGAGGTTGTGACAGGAGGGTTGGACACCAGAGTAATGGGTGACATTTTCCTGCAGTGTCATCCTTGACAATCATGTGTCCTCTTCAGATTCCATGACCTGATCTGAACTTTAGAATTTCCAATTTCACTGGCACAGGTTCAGACACAACAGTAATTTCCCCCCCACAAACACACACAAGCCCAGGCCAGCTAATATGAAGCCACTGTCCTCACCCCTGCCTTCTCTGTGGTCACAGAGGCCCCACACTCATTTGCTCCCAAACTCTCCTGTCCTGCCAGACAAAATCATCCATCTCCTGGAGGAGAGCCTGGCACCCACGGTTGCCCATATTCTTTTTCCCTTTTTTATAAATTGAGGCATTTATTACTTAATACCTTTCCCAAGCAATTAAATATACTTAAATCGAGTGAACATTCATTTCAGTTGTTCTTAGAGTTTGCACAGAGGCTGCAAGCATTTGCTGGGAGCACATGTCATCTATCTGACCTGAGCACACTCTGGGGATATTGAGGCACAGCCCCTATCACCGGCCTCAGGCAACCTGGAGGAAAATTTAAAATCATCAATGACTCCAGATGAGCTGTTCCAGGGAGGATACACATTCCATTTCTACATTCAGGTATTGCACCTGGGGTGGCCCAACCAAGCCTCATAAACACACCTACAGATGAGGATCAGAAAACACAGACTCCACACTGAGCTTTGCTTGGGAAGGAGCACCCCAGCAGCGAGGCCAGGACAGAACAAGGGGAGGAGATTCAACCAGATCATGAGACAGCAGAGAAAGAGGATCCCCAAGCTGAGGTGGGGACTCTAGTAATCACCCCTCCCTCCCCAAGTCTCTGGGGACTGAGTCTTCTCTGAAACCACAAAGTTGCCCAAGTAGCAGCCTGTCCCTGGCTGATTTGCATAGCCAGCAGCTCTCTCCAGCAAGGGGATAAGACAGGCTTGGGGGGAACCTGCCCAGCTCCACCTTCAGGGAGCAGGATCAGGGACCCCACCATGGCCTGGATCCCGCTCCTCCTGGCCCTCCTGGCTCACTGCACAGGTACCTTACCAAGCTCACTGCACCCCATCCCAGGGCTCTGGGGCCAGCCTGGCCTTGACTCTGAGCTCAGCAAGGGCTGCCTTAGGGCCAGAATGCTCATGACCCTGTGCAGGTTGGGAACCTGGGTCCTGAGCCACCAAGGCTGTTTGGTGGGAGCCTGAGGGGCCCCTGCTACCAGGAGAAGGGGAGTGTTTTCTCTTTGGCTGAGGCCTCCATTCACCAGCAGGTTCATGGGACATCGGGACTGTGCCAAGGAAAGGCGCACCCTAGAAACCAGAGAATCCTGGGTCCTCAGTCTAAGGAGGGTGGGGGACTCTTGAGAATAGGATCTACATTTCACACCCCTCTCAATTCTCTCTTGCAGGCTCTGTGGTCTCCTATGAACTGACTCAGCCTTCCTCAGTGTCGGTGTCTCTGGGAGAGACGGTCAGGTTGACGTGTCAGGGAGACAACATTGGAAGTAAAAGTGCTCACTGGTACCAGCATAAGCCAGGCCAGGCCCCTGTGCTGGTCATTTTTTATGATAACGAGCGGCTCTCAGGGATCCCTGACCGGTTCTCTGGCTCCAAATCGGGGAACACGGCCACCCTGACAATCAGCGGGGCACAGGCTGAGGACGAGGCTGACTATTACTGTCATGTGTGGCACAGCAGCAGTGATCATCCACAGTGACACGGGGCCAGGGGGAAGTGAGACACAAACCCCTTCCCCATCTGGTCACACTCTCCTGCAGCCCCAGGGGGATGGAGACACAGCCATGAGCAGCTCTGACCCGGGGACCAGATTTGAGCCCCCAAGCTCCCCCCCACACCCCGCCGACCCTGGGCCGATCTGCAGTGTGTGTGTCAGGAGTGGATTAGGGCTCAGGGCAGGCTGTCCCGAGCAAGTCTTTGAATTGAAGATACAGCGATGACATGAAGGACAGAAAGAGGAACATTTCTCTGTTGTGTTAAAACATAAAATGAGTCACTCAAGAAATAGTCACTATATTTGAGTGAGTAACACAAAACTTCACAGTCAGGACACTCCTGCAAGGGAACTGAGGAAAGGCTTTTATAGGGAAGAGGCAGAAGCAAAGCAAACATATGACTTGCTGGCCTAGATGTGAGCAGTGCCTTGATATGGGAGTCTTGTGGCTCCTGGGCCTCAGATGTTGGTCTGAAACCTGAGGGTAAACAGGACAAGGCTCAGGTTTTGACACTGGCCCCTCAGGCTTCACGGCCAAGGCAGCCTCATGGATGCCTTGTGTTGTGTGTTTAACAAATTGTCACGGCCCTCTGATGTCCTTAGCGTGGTGACTGGGAGTATTGGCCAAATGTCCTGATGAATCCCCAGAACCTCCCACCTTCCCCGACCTCTTGAAGTAGCACACTCCAGTGCACCTCTGAAAATAGAATAGAGAAAACCATTGTTGTGGACAATGGAGAATGAATGTAGAACCTCTTAAGTCTTGATATGCACACACACACACACACAGAGAGAGACACACACAGCACCTCCCCAACACTGGTGGGGGCCCCTGGCTGCTCACCAATGTGCCCTCTTGGGAGTCCTTGGTTTGAGAGGAGCTTTTTCCCTGCTAATGCCTCCTCTCTGAGAGACTCAGGGCCAATGATGCCCTGATGCCAGGTCCCAGGCCCTGCCTCCGTCAGGAGGACCCTGCAGGGTCTCCCAGCTGAGTCTCAGTTATAAGCACATATGGCGGTGTCTGCAGTAGCTGCCGTATCTCTCCAGCCCATCACCCAAAACCGATGCATGGACCTGCGTGTCAAATGACCTTAGGAGGCCAAAGAACAGCACAGAGACCACTGCAGAGTCTGGAAAGTTTCCAAAGAGCCCTGATAAGATAGTGTGGGAGGAAACTGCTAGAGGATTGTAGGGTGAGAGGAAATTGTCAGGATTTTCCCCCCTCCCACCGTTGGCATCTAAGACCCACAGTTGTGGGCAAGCACATGTGCCTGATGGCAGACACCTGGAGTAGGGTGTGGCTGTGCATACGTGCGCGCACGTGGGCTGAGAGGTTGGGCATAGAAGGGCGGCGTCACAGGGATGACAGTGGTAGGAGACAGAGAAACAGCAGCAGGAGCAGAGGAACAGAGACCATGAGAGAATGCAGAGAACACAGAAAGGGTAAACATACACCGGTGGGAGGGGTGTTTGTGGGTTCCTACCTGCCATGTACCTGGTTGCTGCACTACAAATGATGTGAAAAGCTCAAAGCCTGAAAAAGCCACCGAGGGCTCCAGGACTCTCCTTTACCCATCTTCTTGGATCATAGAAAACCTGCTCTGTGCCTTGCTGGCAATACAAGGCAGAAGACCCACCCAAGGACAATAGCGTAACCCCCACAGATTTCAACCCCACCCCATCACTACTGCCTGCTCCCCAGGCAGAGGACAATAGTCCAAAGTCAGTTTGAGAAATCATGAGAATTCGTCTTAACATGTAGTGGATTCACGCAAATCAAAGGCTGCTCAGGTGCCACCTAGACAGTGTAAAGGAAAATAGAAATCCCTGTGCCCAGGAAAACAGAATTTCCGGTGTCTCTCGAAAGCACAGGGAGAGGGAATGCAAAGCACCCGTGACCCAACAGGAAATTCACCACACCTGGTGCCCTATCACAACGCCCTGCACAGAACAGGACATATGAGCTGTAAGAAGCGCTATGGTCATTTACTCTCTGAAGATGCTTAGAATGCACAATTTGGAGAGTGTACCAGATCATAATTTTGCGTTAGTCCACGTTCCTGAGGCCAGGGAGTGAGGGAGCCTGCTAGGTGAAGACAAGAAGATCCATGTAAGAGATGGCAACTGAACTTCTAGAACTGAAACTAAGTATCTGAGAGTAAACAATGCAGTGTCTGGAGTAACAGCATAGGAGATGCTACAAGTGAAAACCTACTGAAATTGATGGCACAACAGTCATCCAAAGAAACAAAGGCAATAAATACTATCAATAACCAGATTATCTTAGAGTTGGAGGTCGAACTCAGCGAGCATGTGTAATTGAGGGGATAGTGAGAGAAGCTTGGGTTGTGTAGGAGGAACAGGTCTTTGAAGAAATAATGCCTAAAAATATTCAGACCTTGTTGGCAACAATAAAAGCACAAAAAAGGAAATTAGGACACCTTCAGCAACAAGGAAATAAACAACCCAATTATGAGGGAGAGGGGTAATCCTCAGTGAATCCTGAATAGGCCTGAGTCCTATATCAAAGTGGCCACTTCTGCTGTCAAACCGCTCCCTACCCGCAACTCCTGTATTATGACAACCCCTGTCCTCAAGTCCCTGGGCAACTGATCCGACATCTTAAACAGAAAATGATCCTTCTGTGTGATGTTCCAAAGTCCCATCTCCATGGATCCATCCACAAGATAAAGACCCAGTGAGACACTTTACTGAACATTCTCTCAGGACACTACACCCTGGAAATTCCTCAGCAAAGGTCACCCCTCCTCACAACTCCATCACACACTGCGAAATTTCAGATAGTGCGCAGGACCCAGGAAACGAGAGCCTGATTCTATACAGTCGTGCTGACAACTCATATGGAAACAGCAGACTGTTCTGTGGGACAGGACAGGACCCTGGTGTCCATGGGAATCGCTCCGCACTATGACCCCATAAGGTACAGGCAGGGGGACAAAGGATGTCCGACCACAGAGGATGGTTTGCTGACTGGGTGCTGGAGACAGGCTCCTGGGAGGTTGGTCAGACATTGAGGGAGGGAAGCACAGGGAGCAGGTTCAACCCTGGGACTGGTGATGCCAAAGACAGAAGGTTCTGGAAGAATAGACAGCTGACACCTACAGGGCAGGCTCTTGGGGTGACTGGTCAATTCTAGGACTGCAGTGACAGAGACCCACATACTAGGGGTTGACAAGTGAGATGTGTTGACTCAGGTCTGAGGATAATATCGATGAAAGCATTGGCAAGTTTGGTTTTGGTTTGCTTTGTTTGAATTTTTTGTGTACTGTGAAGAGAATGTGGTCTGTGTCTCTCTTCAGCAATGGCTACTTTGCTGTGCTTCCTCAGCTTGTAGATTCCGCCCCCTTCTTCCATGGGATCTCCTTTGGCAGTGTCTGTCTCCAGATAACCCATCTTGCAAAGACCAGGCACCTCTGTGGACTGACTGGGAAGGATCAGAATCAGGTGATTCTGCTACCTGTGCCCCAGCTTGCCTCACCTCAGTGACAGCAGCTCACCCTGAGCCTCCTCAGGCCTCATCTGCCAACCAGGCTGTGTGATACCCTCATCAGGACAGGTTTGCAGATCTATGGGATGAGGGCCCCTCTCTCAGAATGGGGTATCACCATGGTAATGAAAGAACAGTCTGCACAGAGTCTGGTCAAGCATGAGGCAGATGTGCCCTCGTTCCGCCAGGACACTCCGTAACATGTGTATTAGGGAACCATGATCCTGCCCATGGGCATAAAGGCCCAGTAAATAGGACAGGGATCTGAGAGGATATTACTTCTGCTATCTATGCAAAGGGCATTAAATAGGTTAGCCTGTTTATGAGTGTGAGTGTGTGTGGGGCCTGTGCAATTTGGCATTACAGTTAAATAAAACCATGTCAATGTGTCAAATCCAAAACATTTTATTCCTTCACTTTTCTTATTCCTGTGTGCTCAGTATCCATGTTTATATTAAGAGATATGTGGATATGAATTTTAATAGAGGAGGAAGAAAAAATTTCTATGTTGTTAACACATGTTTAACCATTGAAAACAATTCATACTTATTAAATCCTTCAATACCGAGAATAATTGCTCTCATTTCATACATTTTTCAGATGGGGAAACAGAGGCATGGAGTGACGTGCAACTTACTCAAGTCAGAACTAGAAGAGTGACTGAGCCCACAGCCAATTCTCTGTCCCAGAATTCCCATGCGGAAACATGAAAGGCATCATGTTTACCTCCTTCCCTCATCACAGGCCTCCTGAGCCCTCCTGTCAAGGCCCCAGCTTCTGTATTCAGGCATCTGTCCTCCCTGAGTCTATGCAGTGAACACTCAGCTGATAACAGTGCTGGAATCTGATTCCCAGTTAAGTCTGAGTTGGTCTGTAACCAGAGCTGGGGACCCTCCTCCTGCTCCCTCCATGGCAGAATACACAGATTCTGTGTGGGTTGGACATGGGGACCTGAGACCTTGGTCGGGATCAGCTGAGGCCCTTAGACTCAGGGCTAAGACAAGACTGAGACACACACCCTGGGGACTGGAGAAGTGACTTACATTGGCTGCCCTACCTCCTGGAGCTGCAGGCAGGGAGGATAAGACAGGAGCATGGACAGGCCAGTGCAGCTGGGCAGCCTCAGGGCAGAGCTCCTGGAAGCCTCCACCATGGCCTGGGTGTCCTACCGCGTAACCCTCGTGGTATACTCAGGTCAGAGCAGCCCAGACCCTCAGGGATTCTGCTCTCCCATAACTCCTGCCAATCTCACTCACCATGATTCTGGAATCTTCTGTTCCAGGTCTCTGTGCTGGGCCTGTGCTGACCCAAACCCCTTCTGCATCTGCCTCCCTGGGAGCCTCGGCCAAGCTCACCTGCACCCTGAGCAGGGAGCACAGTTCCTACATCATTCAATGGCTTCAACAGCTGCCAGGGAGGGCCCCGTGGTATGTGATGTATGTGAAGAGTGATGGAAGCCACAGCAATGGGCAGGGGATCCCTGATCGCTTCCCGGTCTCCAGCTCAGGGGCTGACCGCTACTTGACCATCTCCAACATCCAGCCTGAGGACGAGGCTGCGCATTACTGTGGCGCAGGCTATACTACTGGTGGGCAATACGGTTAAGCCACAGTGACACAGACAAAGGGGAAGTGAGGATAAAACCTCACTCCCCTTCCCCTCTTCCCCACAGGACTCAGGGTGAGCTACTCCCCATCCCTCTACAGGATCCAGAAATCCTCACTCTTCTCCTTCCATCCCTGTGGCTCTGACCTCCTCCCAGACAGCAGGGCACCGAGGGACATGGGTCATCACTGAGGTCATTGGACAACACAGCATCTGTGTCCTCCCTCAGGCCTGTGGGGTGATGCTGGGAGAGACAAGAAGGATCCTGACCCTGAGAGAGGGTATGGACAAACACCATACCCCAGGATGCAAAGCCCTGTGCCCACAGCATGGGCTCTGCTCAGAGAAGAGTGTGGAGACTCAGAGTTTCAGTGAATTGTCTGCAGGGAGTGTCCTGACTCCTGGTCCCCATGGAGGGAGCAGGACTCCTGTCAGGACTGAGGTTTTGCAGAAAACATCTGACTCCGAGGGAGGCTGGACAGAGAGTTCTGAGCTCCATGGAGGGTCCAGACTAGGGTCTAGTTGGGCGTCAAATAGCCTGTGAGAAGGTGTGCAGCAGGAAAATAGGGGCACATTGGGGTTTCTAATGGGCTAGATTATCAGCTTGTGATGCTGAAAATGGCTCCACACCCACCCACAGGACTTTATAGGACTGACCAGGACACATCAAGGGAGCCGGCATTAGGGATGAGGGAGAGTGGATGCTCATGGTAGAAATGTAGACCCACCATCTCTCAACCTTGTGGGGAACCCATCTCAAATGTTCTGGAATGGGTGGGGAGCTAGCTACTGGACGTGCTGATTCTCCACAGCAGACATAGTGACTAAGGGTCCCTGGTCCCAGGCCCTGAACTTAGCTGGGTCAGGGGCATCAGGCCAGACCCCTGTTGACTAACTCACAAGGTTATAGCTCCGAGGGAGTCTGGTATCTGCCTGTGGCCTGGGTGACTCCTAAGGGGCAGGAGAAGAAGGGGTGCTGAGGCTGGGGAGGGGTGGTCAGGGATCAGGGGAGCAGAACCCAAGATGGACATCAGGGCTCAGTCCTGCGGGGACCTCTGAAACCAGGACGGCAGAGTCATGGGGCAAAGTGACTCTCACCCCTCTCCCCACTCCAGTGACCAGTTATTCTGACCGAAATTTTATAGTCACTGTGTCCCAAACAAGGTGTCCATGCACCCCTCCAGTGGGGGTTTCCTGCAGTCATTCCACTGTGGGAGAGGACCTCAGGGGATTGTAGGGACATGTGTCACACTCCACGTACGTCACACAAATCCACCCCCACGTGGGGTTTGTGGGTTATGATTTGGAATAAAGTGTCACAGGAGCCTCCTCTGGACCAACAGGCAGATGTAGACATGATTATGAGATTGTAAATCGGAGGCAGGTGAAGGTCATTCTCTGTCCTCTTAATGGTGCCCAACCAGGGAGGGAGATGCCACTGCCAACCCCAGGTCAGACGGGGACCACGTGCCCATGAGACACAATTTTCATGGTCAAGGTGATGACAGGGGCAGGGGCAGGAGAAGACCACAGGCAGCTCTTGTCCTGGGAAGGTGACTGCTGAGCAGTGTGGAGCACAGGGGTCCTTGCAGGATTTTTCCCAAAACTTACACTGAAGATGCTCCATGCAGGCTTGTGTGTGCGCCTGGCTCCGGCTCTGCAAGTCTGGATTAAAACATGAAGACAAGCACCTGAAGCTGCCGCACTGAGGCCACACAGTGAGCACAGGAACCAAGGAGAAAACAGAGACAAGGATTGAGCCCTGGAGACCTGTGACCAGAGCGACTTTGAGCCTGGGATTCAAAGTGCAATGGCCAACCATGTCCAGGGCAGGCAGGAGGACTGCGGGGCCAGGAGGCTACAAGCCCCCAATCCCCAGGAATCTTTGAGCTTGCTTTTCTCTGGGCCCTCGCTGGCATTCTCTTGTGTCCCCTCTGTGGCCTCACAGGTCTACCTCATATTTCGTCCTTCTCTGAATGAAACCACCCTCATAGCCCTGACCTCTAGGCCAGGTTGCACACCTATGGAGGCGTGTCGCACCCCTACTCCAGGTGCCCACAATCAGGCAGACATTCCCCTTGTCCATGCGTCCAAGCGCCTTCTGTGCCAACAGGACCAAGGCCGCAGGTGAGAGCCACAGAGGCTAGTGACCTAAAAAGCCTGAAATTCATTTACCCTACAAAAGTAATCACACTCATCTGGATGCCATTTGACCTACTGGTGAATGAATTTGACTCTGACATCCACCTGACAGCATGGGCCTGGGAGTCCAGGAATTTGAAAATATAATCCAGGCTCACCACTGGTACCTTGTTGGCAGCCTCTTACAGCATTGCTGATAACACTGTAGCTGGGGCCCTCCTGGATCCCACCCTTCACACACCAGACCCTGAAGTCAAGTCCCTCCTGAGGGCTCTGCCCTCCCATAGAAATGACCAAGCTCACTGGGAGCTAAGGAGCAACCATCACGGGGGTCACACATGGCAGATAAGCAGGTCTGGCCCTGTTAACAACCTCCTGTGTGCTTGCAAATTCACTCAATCTCCCACGTGCTGGCTACTAGTGGACACCACCAGAGCCTGTGCTCTCCCACAGCCTGGAGGCTGAGACAATGAACCTGTTCAGCGTGTGTGTGCACTCTGCGCCACAACTAAGTCTTCAGCAGGGGGGCACAGCCTGCCTCCCAAACCTTCATCACAGCAGCCTCCAGCCTCCAGAGGCGCCTCCTGCAATCCAGTGGGCCCAGACTTTGCACCACACACCATCAGGTGAGAGGCTCCACTGATACTACAAGGCCCACCTCTTGGTCCATGCCACACCCACAACCCACAGCCATGAGGAGGTAGTGCCATTTCTGCAGCCATCCCTGCCAGAAGCCCAGCGGCCCCAAAGCACATGCAGCAAACCTATTAGCAAGCAGGCTCTCTCCAAAACAGCGAGCCTCGCTGGTGACACTGCAGCTGGCAGCTGGCTCTGCCCATGGCTGCACCCAGTGGGCAACACACAGCAGGCGACCTAGACTCACAAGGCACATCCTGCAGCTACACCAGGCAGCCATGGGCCACGTTTGCACCCGCAGCACAAACCCCTGAACACACCTGAGTGCAGACTTGGGGTCAAATCCTAAGTGCCAGTGTGCCGATACGGCACAAGGGGGCACATCCATGAAGGGGCTCAGCTCAGCACACAACTTGGGGAAACAGGAACTGCGCTCCAGAAGGACACTCATCGCCAGCACATGACTAACCCTCAAGATCCAAAAAGATAGTGATGGTCCAGGTAACACAGAGCACCAGGAAGATGGGGGACAGAAGAACATGACTCTTATGAGAGAGTTAATCATAGTAAGGAGATCTTTCTGTGGGGAAATGTGCAAACAGTCATAAGCTCATGATGGGCTCACTATTGCCAGTCATTCAGGAAATGCAATTCAGACCAAACTTAGGCACCACTTAAACACCAACAAGTGCAGGTAAAACAGATAATAACTAGTGATGACATGAATTTGGAAGAATTGAAACCCTCATACATAGCAGAATGGAAAAAGGTAGAGTCACTTTGGTAAAAAGTCTGGAAATTGCTCTAATGACTAATTCTAAAGGTAACATATGTTGGCGCCTTACCTCGTGGCATCAGGATACTCCCCCTTTCTGTGATTGGCTGTGCTCCTTTCGGCCCAGTGCGCATGACGACCTCCGGCGCACCAAATAAGGTTATGTGTTTAATCATTGGCTAGGCACTGTTGGCCTGCTTCTTCCGCTTCCGGTCCCCAGCTATAAAGCCCCGCTGAAACCAAAAATAAATGAGACATGCTTTAGCTGAACCGAGTGTACGTGTCTCCCTCCGTGGTGACCCCTGTTCTTTCAGGTCGCTGCTCTCCCCCCGAGAACCTCGTTGACCAGTCCGCGGGCTCGGACAAACATATATCCAAAAACAGCATAAACCCCCCAAAAAAGTGAAATCATATACCCATAAAAAAACTTGTATAAAAATATTTGTTGTACACAAGGACTACACCTGAGAGGAGAAAGCATGCGTTGCACAAACAGAAAGAATGATGTTAAATATATATATGCATATAAAATGTTTGTTGCAGGATTAGTGTTCCAAATAGTCAAATGGTGGAAACACCCCAAAATCTGTCCATGAATGAATGGATCAACTGACCAGGGTGTGTCCATAGCATAGAATATTCCTCACCCATGAAGTGGAATGAAATCCTGCTCCATGCACCAGTGGGATTGAAGCCAGGAGATGCTGTGCAATGACAGGAGTCAACATTAAGACCACACACCACATGGCTCTACTTGTATAAAAGCCCAGAATAGAATATAAAGAAAGACAGTTGCTTTGAATTGGGGTGTTTGGAGGCAGGAACTGGAAGATGGTGCTCATTTAGTGCTAAAATTATGTAAAGCTGATTGTAGTGATTATAGCACTATGGTAAAGATACCAAAACCTACTGCATTATATTGACCTTCATGGTTAAAACAATGTATTTGAATTATATCTCGAAATAAGTGATGTAGAAACGAAAGGTGACTGTTTTTCATTCAAGTCTGACTGAATTTCATACTTGTGAAAAATTTTTAAAAATTTCCCACAAGAGAGATAAATCCCATTTCTTTATTTTATTTCAAAAATCACTTTTTCTGTCTCAAATATTGGTCTATAAAGTTATGGACTCTCCTCAGCGTTGTGTGATCTCATGTGATACCATGTCCATTGGTCGCCTGATCCAGTCTCCGGCAAAACACCTTCCTGGCCTCTGAGTAACACTGCACCCCGGGCATCATTGTTCATATCGGTGTGGCCTCTGCTGTCTAGTACACACGCCACCCACGGTGTTACTAGTGGACCTACAAGAGAGCCCAGGAAAGGATGCACAGGTAGCACCTTTATCCTCACCTGGCCACATTATGGGCATCAGTACAAAGAGGGGGGTAGGTGACCTCTCCCCTGTCTTCAGCCCAGGATCCCAACAGGATTAGCTAAAGGGC